TCTCAGTGGTTAAGTCAGCTGTGTGGTCCCAGATGGGTAGGTTAGTGGTTGCCTGCCATTGTGGAACTGTATTTATTCATAAAATTTATTAATGAACATTAATTGAACATGTAAAGGAGCAGTTTTGTTCTGGCTTTAAAATATAGTACAGTTGGCCCTCTGTATCCATTGATTCTTTATCCACTGATTCAAGCATCCACGGATTGAAAATATTTTTTAAAAATATACAGATTCCAAAAAGCAACCCTTGATTTTTGCCATTTTATACAAGGGACACAATTTTACTGTCCATTATATTTAATGGGACTTGAACATACATGGGTTTTGGCATCCAATGGGGGGTGGATCCTGGAACCAAACACCAGCGAATAATAAGGACCCACTGTATAATCCAAAATCCACAAAAAACAGTGATATCGTGATTGTGTCAACCAAAATTGTTCTTCCTAACAAAGGGGCTTGTAACCAAACAAAGGATTCAAGACGAACTGGATCTCAAAAGAAGTAACTTTTTGTCTTGTTAATGGATTTTAAAGTTTATTTCCTGTACTGAATGTCCTAGCACCCACATGGCCAGAAGGAGGAGGGACCCACCTGCATGAATACCCTTTCATAGCATCTGAACTGATGACGACAACCACAACATCTTGACCAAATGCAGGGCTATGACTAACATTATCAATTTTTCTTTCTTTTTCTTGTATGATTTTTAACACCCTTGCCTGATGAAGAAGCTGGTGGAGCTTCGAAAGCTTGCAACATGTATAATGTGCATTTTGGTTGGTCCAGTAAATATCACTGTTTTATGGATTTTGGATGATACCGTACTTTGCTATATGGCCAGCACGGCTACCCCTGGATATGTCTCCTGGTTTTAAAATTATCTCTGTGTCAGATTAATTAGACTGACAAATCATTTGATGTTCTAGATTTGACCCTTCACTATTCTGTAGTAGATCTGTCCTTTAAATTAACACACATTACTATATGAGCTGGAGAAGTCTCCCACAGTAAGGTATAGTACATCTCTTTAAAAAGTGTGGCTCAATTACAAAATATTCAGACTTGCTGTCCTGAAGGGTTTGTGGCCCTGTTAAAATATTCCCAGAGGGAGAATTAAAGATAGAAATAAAAATCATGAAAAACATGAGCGTACTAAATCTCATCTGACCTTGAGAAATTCAAAGCAAGTGTTTGACCACAAAAAGTAGAACACAATTATCTACAGAATATTAAACTTTTAATTTCCTTCCAATCCTTTCACATCACACATACACATGTACAAGAGGTTTTTAATGCTGATGTGGGAAGAGCTTTAACCATAGATGTCATCTGCCCTTGCTAACCACGTAGTTGATGGTTCTTTACGTAATACTAGTGAACAGATTTGTAGGAGAAAGGGCTCCATTGCAAAGCAATATGGGTTGTTTCTAGCCCCACAAAACCCTGTGATAGGGTTGCCATAAATCAGAAAGGACTTGAAGGCACACAATAACGACAGCTAGGTTTTATAGGGCCCTGCGACTGCATGAGAGAAGCATTCTGTCTTGCTGCCGTTTTGTCATATAAGTCCTCTGAAGGTTGCAGGCTTCCCAGAAGCAGTCTTAATTAATCTGGCCATGTCAGCCTCCTGTATGAAAAGGGGTTGGACTATGTCACCCTTACGGTCCCTTCCAACTCTATGACTCTTGTGATCTGCCT